CTTTCATTCTCTTGTCATTCTTGGGCAACACTGCTTCTTTTTTTCTTTTGCATGTGCTAACATTTTTCTGATAACATTATTGTGTGGCCTTCATGTTTCTCACTTTGATATTGAAAGGACGATCAGTACACTGAATGTGCTGGTGACTGCTTCGCTGGAGCAGACCCCACAGCACCATGGCCCAGCCAGAGGGGTGCTCTCAGACTACAGCCTCAGTGGAGTGTGGCCCCAGAAACCACACTGAGCTCTGTGTCCAGCAGAACACACATAGTACATGGAGGAAGCATCTACGAGTAAGGCCATGTCCATTATAGGGATTGTGTAAACTTGTTGTGTTGTTTTTTCCTGCCAGGTATCGTATGTATGGTGTTTTATGCTTCAATGCATTGGAAACTTTCCATTTTATTCAAGAAATATGTTCCATGTTAAAAAGCCTTGATTAAGGAGGAGGAAAGAAAGCATATATTGCCTTACAGTTCCAGGTACCTCTAATACCCTCAAATGTGGACTCCCTCACCTCCCCAAAAATGACTTTTGCAATTTTAAAGTTAGAAAATTAAAGACTATATCTCAATTTTTTGATATTTAATCTCTATATTCTTATAATTAGAGGAATATTCATGAGTATTTGCACACACAAGATTGAAAGTGTACAAGATCAGTAAGGATAAGCATATATTAAAGAAAACATTTAGGGGCGCCTGGGTGGCTTAGTCGGTTAAGCGTCCGACTTTCGCTTAGGTCGTGATCTCGCGGTTCGTGGGTTCGGGCCCAGCGTCGGGGCTGTGCTGACTGCTGGCTCAGAGCCTGGAGCCTGTTTCAGTCTGTGACTCCCTCTCTCTCTGACCCTCCCCTGCTCACGCTGTCTCTCTCTCTCTCTCTCTCTCTCTCCCAGAAATAAATTAAAAAACCTTAAAAAAAAAAAAGAATACATTTAAAGGACTATGGCTAAGCATAGCAGATTGACCACATGTATATATCTCTTTTCCCTGCCCCCAAACTCATTATGATAATAATAAAAGAATAAAATGATATTGAGCCACAAGGACAAAGAAAATAAGAAGAGAAAAAACAGTAGACAAGATTTCAAAGAGAAAAGGCAGACAGAAGAGCATTCATTGACTTAGCATATAGAAAGGAGTTCTTTCCCCAAATTCCTATAGTGGGAGAGAATGGAAGAGAAGCCACCCCAACTGGGTCCTGTCCTGTTCTTTTTTTAAATTTTTTAAATGTTTTATTTATTTTTGAGAGAGAGATAGAGACAGTGTGAGCAGAGGAGGGTCAGAGAGAGAGGGAGACACAAAATCCGAAGACAGGCTCCAGGCTCTGAGCTGGCTGTCAGCACAGAGCCTGACGCGGGGCTCGAACCTACAAACCATGGGATCATGACCTGAGCTCAAGTCAGACACTTAACCGACTGAACCACCCAGGCGCCCCAGTCCTGTCCTGTTCTTTGGTGGCACCTGGAGGAGGGTATTTTGGGGGCTGAGACAGCAGGATCAGACAGTGTGTATACACAAGTACATAGAACAATTAATGACACACAGTTACCTCCTCAAAGCACAGCAGCCCATTCCTACCCCTAGCAAGAGATCAGAGGCTTTTTCCCTATAAAAAAATTATACAAGAGAACTTTTGGGGCCCAGAGATACCAGGCGGGTTAAACAGCAAAAGTGGGACAAAAACAGAAAACTTAGTAAAAGTCTTCATATGGAAATGTCCCTCGGCCACTTTTCCTGCCTTACCTCAGAGTGCCAGCAACCAGATGTATTTCTCTGCCCCCACCAAGCAGGATATTGGACTGCTATTCTCTGGGGAGCTAAATAGTTTCAGAGAAAATGCCCTATATTCTAATATTTCAACAAAAAGAGCAGCTTGCTACCTGTTCACCTTATGGAGAGGTCCTATATTCAGCAAGCCTCACACATATAGAGTTTCCAAGTAGCTGAATGGTACAGGCTCTTAATAGATTAGAAGTACCACAGCTATGAAGTGGATTCTGAGGATGAGCTATCTCAACGTCGAGTCCAAACTCCTTATAATGTTTGAATTCAATTAAAAACTCTTTTTCTTCCCAATCTTGCTCTTGTGGCTAGGGCTCCAGATGAGATCTAGTTTCAGCCAATCTGGTGCATGCCTATCCATGCCAGACTTTGGTTTGGAAGGGAGTCCCACCTGGGAGCTACAGAGGATGAGGCACCTGTTTCATTGACCCGAGATCCAGAGGCTGGAATGTGGGGTGCCTTCTTGCCTGCAGCCTCCAGTTCAGTGGCGGCAGCAGCTCTCTGGCAGCCCCAGTTCTGGACATCAGTATGGAGAGCCAGTCCAGGGAAAGCAGCCGAATTCTGTAATTTTTCCCTCCCAATGGTTCTTTGAGCAATTCACCCCCCTTAATAAATGTTTTTTACTTAAACCAGCTAGAATAGATTCTGTTGACAACTATGGACTCAGAAAACACAGTAGCTGTATCTAGTCATTATATATTATTGTGTCTTAGAAAAAATGAATAGTCAGTAAAGCAGAATAGCATTTCTCAGTAATTCATCATTTTAAAAAATGAACTGCTTATTAGCATGGTGTGTGTGTGGGGGGGGTGCGTGAGAGAGAGCGAGCTGGGAGGAGATGGTTTATGCAGTTATGAATTTCCCAGACTTTTCACTTAAGGAAACAGCCTTTAACCAGACCAAAAAAATTTTATACGTAAGAAATTTTAAAAGGGTGGGTAAGAAGCATAGACTTTGAGCAGCTTTGCAAGAAACAAAATAAGGCAACAGATGTGAATAAAGCAGACTGAATTCCAGTGGCATATATGTTCATAGACTATTATAAGCTACCACGGTAATAACAGTGTATCTCATGGGTTAAATTTTCTCTACTAGTAAGCAAAGTACAGGGACTTTGCGTTTTATACTTTCTCATTTACTAAAGCAGGAAAAAATTTACTCAGCATGGCAAAACATACTGCAAGGATTTTAAAATGGGCATATTTCAAATGTTTAATGGTCTCATTTCCTCATTTCTTTCTGTGTTCCAAGGCAACACAACTTATATTTTTTTTAGAAAAAGAGAACCTTTCAAGTTTGGGAGAGTGACTGGTTTACTTGAAAAGGTGTGTGATAGGGTACAGATTTCTGGTAGTAATATCCCTCAACTCTGGCTTCAGCGGCTACACATGAAAATTAGGAAGTGAATTTAAGAGACCCCACAAACTCTGAAATTATGCTTCCTTTGTAACAACTTTCAAGTGCATATTAATCACACAAAATTCTACATGCACAGCCCTTTGACTGTACTTGTATGAAATAAAAGTGTTATTTTGGCTAAGTACACCATGCATTTGTAAAAGTTCAACTCAATAAAAGTACCTTGTTTACAAATGCAATATAGTTTTTACTTATCTGAGAAAATGGGGATCAGGAAGGCATGTACAAACAAAATCCTCTGACAATTCCCAGAACTCAGTGGATGAACAGTTTTAAATTTTACCCCCATCATTTGTCACAAAGCTATGAATAAAAATCAAAGCTGAATTTTCCCCTCTCTATCCTATCATTTCAGTGAAGAAACACTCAAAAAGAGGCAGCACTATGGAGAAAAGCAACAAGACTGAACATTTAAGCAAATTACTGAGCTTTTCCTCATACCTTTGCACTGACTAGTAAGCTACCCCTCCACCCCCGCATCCCTACCCCGATAGTGATATAATTCAGTGAGTGTCTTTCTGAGACCGCTGCAGTATTTGCAAAGGAGAGCTGAGTACCATGCCCTTTGTACTTGGGTAAGGGCCCTTCTCCTCGTGTTCCAAGGAATGTGGACTTGAGATGGAATAGGGAAAAAGGAGCCCCTTCCATGCACCTTCTGGGACGCAGCCCTGGACTTGAGATGACATTTGGCTGAATTGCTGCAAGCACAGCTGGTGGTCTGTGTACCGTTATTGGCTCAAACACACGTTCACACAGAAACAGGGCTCTGGATAAGGGAAAAAGAACTGGAAAGGTTCTCCATCAATCCTAATCATGTCTGCTGACTGCTTTCTGTGGAAAGGGTGAAGAAGAAAAAATAGCACAGAAAAGGCTAAAGGAGGGGGTGGAGGAAGGCAGAAAGGAATGAAGTGACCTATCTGTAAGGGGGAAGGAACTATAGCTACCCATGCTAAAAGTGCCCTCCGCTTTCATTGCAAGTTCAGGTGGCCCTATCCCCAGTCTTCTGGAGACAGAGATCACTGGGAGAAGATGCCAGGGGAGGGAGTGTGGAAAGGGGAAAGGACATGTAGTTTGGGGTTAAGACATGGGTTCACATATAAGCTCTGACACTAGCTATGTGAACCCAGGTGAGTTACCAGACTTTTCTGAGTCTTACCTTATCTCAATATAAGGTAATAATTCATGACTCATAGAGGTATTGGATGAAATGAGATTATGTGCATTATTCTTAAATGTGAGGGCTGTGCATTCAGGGACTTCTGATAAATGTTCCTTTACTTTGGGGAAAACCTTTTTAACCATCTACTTCACACTCAAAAACATAGTAAGGTATTCTCTCTTCAACATAGTTATAACAGTAAGCTTTTATACTTGTAAACTATAGAATTATGAGGGGAAAATAGGAAGTTAATTGCATGCCCACCAGATAAACACACATTAAACATGAACAATATCAAGCGAGGGTGACAAGCAATGAAACAATATAAACAACTTTGAACTATGGCTTCCTATGCACGGGAGACTTGTAAGAACTCCAGAACTGTGTAACTGTGTCCATAGCCATGGAAAGAGAGAGAGAGAAAAATGTGTCTATGGGCTAAGAGGTGATATTAATTCCTCTCCCTCACTCCTATAGTGGATCGCACAGAATAACCTCAAGGAAAGTATTTGAGGGGAGATGAAAGTTTTGAAAGAAATATACAAATGAAAATTCCATAATTAAAGAATCATCTACTTTTTATTATAGATATGTTTTTATACTTTTAAAAAATAAGCAGGAGTCTCAAGACTGGCTCAAAAACTAAAAGGCAGAGAAAGTTTGTTTTCCTTCTTCAAACCTCTTCCATTCGGCAAGTTCCGCTTTTCTGCTGGCTCCAAACCAAGATGGCCTTGAGTTGGCGGCTTTTGCTGCCGCCCGGTTTGTAAGTTTCTCCCTCTACCGCATCCAAGGAAAGCTCCCCTTCTCACTCCATTCGTCCTGTATTACCAGCTGGGTTTTAAAAATCAAGAATGGGGACTCTGTTTACCTGTACAGATATCTGATACTAGTAGGCATTTAATACATGATGATTTATGATGATATCTCACTTACCTATGCTATGTCCCATTCTGCTAGGCTTTGTCTCATACATGATTACATTTATAATACATTAGTGTCAGCAAGAGAATCAATTGCTATTAATTATTGTCCCTAGGTAATATATTTGCATTTAAATCAGGTCCTTCAATTCTTCTGCTTGAATTGACTGAGTCATCCCAGTGGTTTAGCTAACTGGTAGGGGTGAGATTCTTAGCAGGTATCTAGTCCAAAGCTGCACTGAAAACTCTGACTGCTTCTCCAAGTCTTAAAGAAGTAAGTTTAGGGTAGTGTTTCTCCAGCTAGAGTTCTCTTAATGCCAGAGTTTGTGGGATCTTGTGAGAATTCAAAAAATTTTGGGGGGGGGCCTGGGTGGGTCAGTTGGTTGAGGGTCTCAGGGCATGACCTCATGATTTCATTGGGTTCAAGACCTGTGTGAGGCTCTACAGTGGTAGTGTGAAGCCTGCTTGGGATCCTATCTCCCTCTCTCTCTGCCCCTCCCCCACTCTCACTGTCTGTCTCTCAAAATAAATAAACTTTAAAAAGTAAAAAATAAATAAATAAAAATAAATAAAAAGCAATTTTGTGTAGTATTTAATAAAATTGGTATAAGGGATTTTCTGAGTTGTCTAGGGATCACTTTATAAGTAAGCACCGGCAGTCAAAACTTTTATGCCCATGTTTGTGTTTGCACCAAGTAGTGGTACTCTGTTTGTGGCATACTGATAAAGAAAAGAGCAGAGAGAGACATCAATTGTATCAGTTATATACTTTCCTCTAATGACGGCACAGTGCCCTAGGTGGTGGTGGGGGGGGTGTTCATCCCAATAGGATAAAAGTGAAAGGAGGATGGTAAGGTCTTAGAGCACAGGTTAACCCAGGCATGCCAATCTCAAAAGACCCAATGCTTGGAAGCCAGATTATATTTTCTTGTTGACTAGTCAATTATATTTCTTAAAATGACATCATCTCTCATATTAATGTTGATTAGTTGAAGTTGCTCCATAATACAAATTTGTTTGAATTTGACTTGTTCACTTTTTTTGATGTAGAATGACAAGTATGATGTGTTTATATATTTGTAGTTATATTAAATAAAATAATTTTCTGTTACTACATTTTTAAATAATATTAGGAATTAAAATAGTTTGCGTGTGCTCATAATCAATGAGGATCCTTTTCCTTTAAAGGTTGTTTGCATATTACCTGGGTTTAAGAAACATTGGTGTAGAAAAAGTATATTTGGAATTTGAAAGGGTTGACATAGTCAAAATAGGTAAAAACAAATGACCTTGACTTATAACTAATTTGGAGCAGAGCTTAAAAATCGTTTCAATTTCTAATTGCCCTCAGCAAGACCAGGAGAAAAAAACATAGGTCTGGCCTCAGCACCTGGGAGGCCCAGCCATGGCTGGAACATACATTGAAGGTCCGTGGGGGGATTGCTTTCCTGCTCTCTGCTTCAATTTCACCATATGTAAAGCAGGGATAATAATACCCAAACTCAATCCTGAAACTGAAAAATGAAAACAAATAAACTTAACTTTACGGGAATAAAGAGGCAATAGATGGAAAAGCATTTTCATCTTTTGAGATAAAGAGAGTACTATTTAAAGGGGGAACTCTTGAAAGTATCTCAACAATATGTGTCTAATTCATACTGACATGTGTAATTGGACCTATGTTTAATTTTTGCTGCAAATTATCTGCTTCCTTTAAGAAACTGGAGTGGTAAAATGCTGAGTTGTGTGGTTCAAAAATGGAGCTGTGGAAGAATGAGGGATTCCTGGGATAGGACACAGTAAGGCTGGGCCCTTAAGAAAAGATACAAAGGGAAAACTGCAGAAAAAAACTCTGTGCCAATGGTAAGAAAAGATATCATGAAGCTGGTGGAAAATAATAGCAAGAGGGCACCTGGGTGGTTCAGTCAGTTAGGCGTCCGACTTTGGCTCAGGTCATGATCTTGCAGTTTGTGAGTTCGAGCCCCACGTCAGGCTCTGTGCTGACAGCTCAGAGCCTGGAGCCTGCTTTGGATTCTGTGTCTCCCCCTCTCTCTGACCCTCCCCCAGGGGCTCATGCTCTGTCTCTCAATAATAAACAAACAGTAAAATTTTTAAAAAAATAATAGTAAGGAAGTAGGGATAATGGAGATTTTCACACTCGGATCTCACTAATGACAGATAAAGTTGAACATAGGATCTGGTGAAGTCCTCAGTGCTTCCCCAGGTAAGACCCTGAGCAGGTCAAAGAGAGATAAATTACAAGTATAAATATTGAGCTTTACCTCACTTTAGAGGACAGAGTTTATACTCTCCTCTTTCCTCTCCCCCTCCTCCTTTTCTTACATTCCTTAAGCTTAAACAACTTACAATTAAATTTAATCCATTCCTGTTTCATTATTCAGAATAATTAGATTTCAGTATGAAAGCCTTCATGATTATATAAAATGATAAATCTCAGATTCCCTTTTTATGTTAACTGCCCGTGTTAGCAAGTAATAGCACATATTTAAAATAAAACGAGAATGGTGAGAACCGTACTGGCTTTCTAGGAGTGTCAGCCCTCCTGGCTCCCAACCTCAGTGTTTTAAATATAAGAGAAATGTTACAAGATATTATACTTTGTGGGTTCATCAGGGGAACATTCCTTGATATAAGGAGATGATATAAGGAGATATGATCGTCTGGCCACATTGTTGAATGTGAATCAGGAAAGGCCACGACTAGGAGCGGAAATCAAACAGGAGTACAGGAAAGAGACAGTGGTCATTCGAACTAGGGTGGTAGTTGAGGGGAGAAGTGATTGGTTCAGGAACAGGTTTTGCAGGAGAGCAGCCATTAGCAAACTATCGCTCTGAGGGTTAACTCTGGCCTTAGCTTATGTGTGTATGGCCCAAATAGATAAGGATAGTTTTTACTTTTAAATGATGATGAAAAAAGAAAGAGAAAAGAAGAGTAAGTGAAAGCCAAAACTGGCCCCCCAAAGCCTGAATTAGTCACTAACTGTTCCTTACAGAGAAAGTTTGACAACTCCTTGGAGTAGAGTCAGCAGATCATGAAATCAAACTGGTTGGAGGGAGGGATGAGGGGAAGACAAGAAGGAGGGAAAGTACTTGTGGTTTTAGCTCAAGCAGCTATGTGACGGACATTCCCTCTCCTTTCAGCCAATCATACCTTCTTGGGTATTTCCACTTTATCTTATTCATGCTTTGTTGTTGTACTTCTTTCACTATCATATTTATTTACCTTTATATGTCTGCCTCCCCTCCTTGGCTGTGAATTCTTTGAGTAGCTCTTATTTTTCTCAATATTATAGCACCCAGCTTTGTACAAGCCACATGCTCCACAACTATTGGATATAATTGAATTGATGATACGTTAAACTCATTTTCAGTGGTGCTAGTAACATCAATTTCTTAATAAATACAAAATTATAATCAATTTTTTGTATATAAGAGTTTATAAACCATTTTTACAACCCACATATTGATATTACAGTAAACCTCAGTTATGAGTTCCTCTTACAAGAAATTGTATTTTATTTTGATTTGCTTATTTATAAATTGTTAGGCACTATAAGCATTTTGAAATACATCTCTTTAGGGGAATTATTAGGAAAAGGACAGAATGAAAAGAAAAGCTTGGCAATGGAGCATTATGAAAAGTCAGTAATAAGGAAAGAAATCTGGGTATTGCAATGACAATTGGGGCAACTGAACTGGGTATGAGAGGGCTGGTGAGAAAGAAAGGAATCAAAGGTGGGCTTTCATGTTTTGAATTTAATGGTAGTGCCTGTTACTAAAATAAAGAAAAGTATGGACACACAGATTGAATTCTGTCTTGGGAAGAACAAAGTTGGAGATATAATTGTGGTTGTCATAGACATAGGACATACAGATGGTATTTAAAGCTAAATACCCTAGATGAGTAATAGCACATAATAGCAAGTAATAGCACATATTTAAAATAAAACGAGAAGAGTGAGAACCGTACTGGCTTTCTAGGAGTGTTAGCCCTCCTGGCTCCCAACCTCAGTGTTTTAAATATAACAAATGTGACAAGATATTATATTTTGTGGGTTCATCAGGGGAAACTTCCTTGATATAAGGAGTGATATATATAACTTAAAAGATCACCCGGCCACAATGTGGAATGTGAATCAGGGAAGGCCAGGACTAGGAGTGGGAACCAAACAGGAGTACAGGAGAGAGACAGTGGTCATTCCAACTAGGGTGGTAGTTGAAAGGAGAAATGATGAGTTCAGCTGGAGAATAGGTGTGTAGGCAGAGAAGAGGAGAAGGCCCAGGCCACTCTAATGTTTAGATGTAAAAGAGAAGATAAAGAACCAGAGAAGACTAAGGAGGAAGAGCTGTGAGGAAAAAAAACAGGAAGAAGAGGAAAAATGTATTCTAAAATGGAGGGAGAGGTCAATTATATCTACTACTTCTAAGAAATACAGTATGATGTGCATAGAGGAGTAACCATTACATGTGTCAAAGTATAGGAAATGAATAATCATCATAAACACTGTTTTGGTGGAGGGAGAGAACAGAGCCTCTTGAAGTGTGTTAAAGAAGTTAAAGAAGTGGGTTTAAGAGAGAATGAGGAATTACTATAGACATGCCAAGGAGAGATATTCCCATTGAACATTAAACCCTCAAGCTGTAATAAAAAAGAAACTGCACTAAGCAAATAATATTCACTGAAAAAAAACATTCAAACTTTGTTAAAACACTGGTAGCATGTATATTTTCCCCACTTTTCAAATAGCACATGTTCTAGAGGATAGTAGGGGTGAAGTGGTTAAACAAAGGGTCCTTTCCTGAAGTCAATACAGCACCAGAGGTTCCATGCAAAGCAATCAGTTTCCTGAAACAATATACCATGAGCTCTTGCTGTGGTGAGGAAGAGGGG